CTCTCTCTTTCTCTCTATTTCTCTCTCTCTTTCTCTCTCTCTCTCTCTCTCTCTCTCTCTCTCTCTCTCTCTTTCTCTCTATTTTTCAAGCCGCTTTCAACCCCCTTGTGTCTCAGGATGAGCCGTTTTCAAGTTTGGACACATAAATTCTCACACCCACATAAACAATCTTTCACACATAAACTTTGAGCCCCAAAGAAACAATCTTTCAAACGTAAACTCTCACACATAAACTCTCTCTCACATAAACTCTCTCTCTGCCACATAAACTCTCTATTTCTCCCACATAAACTCTCTCTTTATCACACACACATAAGCTCTCTCTCACACATAAACTCTCTCACACACATAAGCTCTCTCACACACATAAGCTCTCTCACACTATAGCAGGTACACGCAAGTACAGTTCACTAGCAACCAACAGTTAAACGACACAGCTGCTAACAGCCACAACCGATTTCTAGCTGTATGTGTATTCCGCTGTAGCTGTTGGTAACTTGTTAATTGCTAAAAACATGTGTACATTCTCTGACATGTCTAGTCTAGTCCGTTCCAGCAACACATCTCATGCCTACACTATAATGTCAGGTCTAGGTTAGCGTCTGATGTGAGTAGTGATTTGTCTGTCGTTGTCTGTATGGTCACTTATGCTCGTCTCCTTGTGTTTTCCACAAACACACACACATATCACATACACACACCACACCACAACACAAACACACACGCACATACACACACGTAAACACCCTACTTTTTATTGTACGTATTTGTTGTCTGCTTACCCACAAAACAGCATAACAGTTGTGTTAGCAGTTTAAAGTATTACAAAAGTCCGTGTTAACAGCTAAAGTGTGTGTTAACAGCTAAAAGTATGCGTTAACAGCTAAAACTATATGTTAACAGCTAAAAGTATGCGTTAACAGCTAAAAGTGTGTGTTAACAGCTGAGAGTATGCGTTAACAGCTAAAAGTATATGTTAACAGCTAAAAGTATGTGTTAACAGCTAAAAGTATGTGTTAACAGCTAAAAGTATGTGTCAACAGCTAAAAGTGTGTTTTAACAGATAAAAGTGTGTTTTAACAGCTAAAAGTGTGTGTTAACAGCTAAAAGTATGTGTTAACAGCTAAAAGTGTGTGTTAACAGCTAAAAGTGTGTGTTAACAGCCAAAAGTGTGTGTTAACAGCTAAAATTATGTCTTAACAGCCAAAAGTATGTGTTAACAGCTAAAAGTGTGTGTTAACAGCTAAAAGTATGTGTTAAAAGCCAAAAGTGTGTGTTAACAGCCAAAAGTGTGTGTTAACAGCCAAAAGTGTAAGTTAACAGCTAAAAGTATGTCTTAACAGCCAAAAGTATGTGTTAACAGCTAAAAGTGTGTGTTAACAGCTAAAAGTGTGTGTTAACAGCTAAAAGTATGTGTTAACATCCAAAAGTGAGTGTTAAAAGCAAAAAATGTGTGTTAACAGCTAAAAGGATGTGTTAACATCCAAAAGGGAGTGTTAAAAGCCAAAAGTAAGTGTTAACAACTAAAAGTATGTGTTGAGAGCTAAAAGTATGTGTTAACAGATAAAAGTGTGTTTTAACAGCTAGAAGTGTGTGTTAACAGCCAAAAGTATGTGTTAACAGCTAAAAGTGTGTGTTAACAGCCAAAAGTGTGTGTTAACAGCCAAAAGTGTGTGTTAACAGCCACAAGTATGTGTTAACAGCTAAAAGTGTGCGTTAACAGATAAAAGTGTGTGTTAACTGCTAAAAGTATGCGTTAACAGATAAAAGTGTGTGTTAACAGCTAAAAGTGTGTTAGCAGCCAAAAGTGAGTGTTAACAGCCAAGAGTGTGTGTTAACAGCCAAAGGTGTGTGTTAAGGGGTCACTACACGGCATTTTTCCCAATTTATGACAAAATATAACTTTTTCAATATGTTCGTTTTTGTAAAGTTCGGCATTCGTACAATAGATGACACAAAAAATTTATGTCATTTGTAAACAATTTAGCATTGAAAAGTTAATATTAATGACACCACCTCGTGCACTTTTTTAAGATAAAAAATTTTTAAAAGTCAGTTTTCTCAAATCTTTATATTTTAGTTTGCTGTGTGTGTGAAATCCTAAAATCTAAGCTAATATAAAGAGTAAAATCATCACATTTTGTGTGCATACTCCATAAACAATATTATAGGGACTGGCCTATCTAAAAGTAGATTTTAGAAAGTTTTTGTTTCTAACATTTGATTATTGTCTTATGATGCTAGATTTTTTTGACTTTTTCAATAAACCTACATTTTAAAATTCTACGAAAAATATTTAAAAACTTGTTTAAAGTAAATACACTAGACCAGTACCTCTAAATAGGACAAAAGGTCATGGATCTATCATCTATTATTGAATACCTATGTTTGCGTTTAAAATTTAAGGATTCTAAGTACATATTGTTTTTTTCACAAGATGGCGGCTATTGCCATGACAACTATGATTTTTTAACACTTAAAGTATACAAATGTAATAAAATGTATCCCTACAAATGGCCATTATAAAATAACTGCTCTAAGTCTGTAAATAAAAAAATAAAAATTTTTGGTGTAGTGACCTCCAGCTAAAAGTATGCGTTAACAGCCAAAAGTATCTGTTAACAGCCAAAAGTATGTGTTAACAGCCAAAAGTATGTGTTAGCAGCCAAAAGTATGTGTTAACAGCCAAAAGTATGTGTTAACAGCCAAAAGTATGTGTTAACAGCCAAAAGTATGTGTTAACAGCTAAAAGTATGTATTAACAGCTAAAAGTATGTGTTAACCGCCAAAAGTATGTGTTAACAGCCAAATGTATGTGTTAACAGCCAAAAGTATGTGTTTACAGCTAAAAGTATGTGTTAACAGCCAAAAGTATGTGTTAACAGCCAAAAGTATGTGTTAACAGCTAAAAGTGTGTGTTAACAGCAAAAGTATGTGTTAACAGCTAAAAGTATGTGTTAACAGCCAAAAGTATGTGTTAACAGCCAAAAGTATGTGTTAACAGCCAAAAGTGTGTGTTATCAGCTAAAAGTATGTGTTAACAGCCAAATGGATGTGTTAACAGCCAAAAGTATGTGTTAACAGCTATAAGTGTGTGGAAACATTAAAACAATCTAGCTTTGCAGTCTAATGTTTAAAAATGGCGCTCTTGTTCCGTAGACCGATTCCAAAATGGGACAGAAGTGGTTTTTTTTCGTAACCTCGTCAGGGGCCCTAATATAACCTTACAGTTGAACGTTGTTTCTGGGGCTTGCGCTTAGGGGATTCTTATCCGAATGGTGGCAATTTGTATCAGCGGGGTGAATCGCTCGTTGAGCGTCGTTTTTCGTTCGTTCGTTCTTTTAAGCTGAGTTAAACATCACTCACTTATTCACTTACTCATCTATGGCGAAGAGAGGAGGTAGATGTAGTTTCGTCTTCTGCTAGTTTCTAGAATAGAATAGTAAACATTTAAAAACATTACATATTTTCTATCCTTCAGTCAGTCTGTGGTAACTAATAACTAGGAATGAAATAATCCTAAGTATTATAACAAGTAACTAAACTTGGAAATTGTCAATGACAGTTTAGTTAATGCAGGAAAGCTGCATTAGCTTTCAACAAAATCTATGGTTCCATGTTATCAGCTTTAAGGCCGTGTTTGCAGAAGCGGGTGTAAGGTAACTACTATTCGTATTCGGCCCGACCGCAACTATTCGGCCTAATATCGAATAGTCAATAGGTCCACTATTCGTCCCCGAAGCGAATATTCCGTACAGCCCTAGTATTAACGCATTTACCGGTTCTGTGCCTACCATTGTTTTTATCACTTCGTTGGTGACTGTCTCTTCTTGCTTTTCCCGACCGCATTTCTTGTACATCTCATCTCACATGTCATTTCTGTTTGCGTTTCCCCTCCCACCAATAAAATGGCGTTAACAGTTTATTTATATATACATATATATACATTTTTATTGACACAATTGCCTGGCTATTTTATCTTAGCCCCAAAATTGCTGACCTAGTTTGTTTGTGCGTTATCTTAAAATCATTCAGGTAAACAGAAGCATGTAGGCGCACACATAAACACGCATACATATATACAAGCACAAACAGTCTACACAGGCGCACACACCTACACACCAACACAGAGACACACTGCAACTCTAAATAAATAAAATCAGCAAGCCATTGTTTGCTTGTGGTGCCAAGGTAGACAATTGTGCATCAAGGGCACCGAGGGAAATAATCCATGAGGTAAGGGCTCCAGGGATGGTCTGTGGGGACTTTTATTCCCAGGTAGGAACTATCTCAGTCTCTAACAAGATACGCTTGTCCATCATAGAAGAAAACAGATTTGGAAAAACAGCAGAGGACACAAGGGCAAGATACTAAGGAAACTGAACCAGACGGAGGGTGACTGGAGGAAAACATCCTGTAGATAAGGATAAAAGGAGCACACTTGGACAATGACATGAAGGAATTGTCTATAAATTAGGATAGACATATAAAGCCAGAGAGCTGGCGTACATACCATATCTTAGCCACACAATTTGCGCAAAACATTTAGACCACAGATATAACCAGAGTGGTACAGTTCTGTAAAAACAAGTGTATATTTTGAAAAGTAAGGGCTGGGGGAGGTTTCAACAACCCCTGGCTAACAGACTTAGCGCCATGTTTAGACAGAAAGAAAAAACACACAGAAATAATATGAAATGAGGGTGTGGTGGGTGTGGTGTGTGTGTGTGTGTGTGGGAGGGGGGGGGGGTTATGAGGTACGTTTGGCCCCTTTACAAAAATTATAGAGGGTTAGGGAGGGCGGTAAGCACCACCTTTGGGGGCAGGGAAATGGGATAACAAGGTGCCTAAGCACTATGTTCCATCGCCCCTGATTAACAGTCTAAAATAAAGAGATAAGCACATCACACTTTTTGAGTGGAGAGCAAGAGCTGTATAAAAGAATCAATCTAACATTCTAGACTCTATACTGTTTGTTCCATAGACAGTTAACTTAGAAGATGGAAACACTGGACCTGATGTTACTGGTTGTCGTTACTGTTGTGTTGGCGGGTACCAACGCTGCCAAGTTTGGCGAGGCACAACTCGTTTTTGACTGGGAGATTTTAGAACTCGACTGGCCTTCAGAGGCGGATAAGTTGGAGGCTATCAGAAATGGATCTTATGTGCCTGAGAGAAATTTGTTAGCGGGCATAAAGGTATGTTAACAATTAATCTGATGTTGTCATCCAAGTATGTCAGTACATTTTGACATTAAATTGTTATCGACATCTACTATAATAAAAGGAATGTTGACATCCAGTCTCTTCTCAAAACAATGTTTCCCCGTTGTAAATTTGAATGAAGAAGAGGCAAGAAGACATTATCTGTTACTGCAGTATGCACCTGACGAGATACAGCGAAATATGCCTGGCTAATAATTGTGCAATCTATTTACTGTGTCTTCTTTGTTCTTAGTTCTTCTCATCTCAAATACAAATACAAGAGGCAACATGTTGTGACTTTCTATAATAAAAATTTTTACATCTAACTTGATTTTGTCATTAATGAATGTCAATGTATTTTGACATGGCATTATCATTGTAGTCGCCTATATTTAGAGGTATTGTGAAATCTCTAACTTGTTGTTCTTGTCCAAGATATCGAGCAACTCATCGTCATTTCGTGTAACAAAACAATTTTTCATCCGCACTGACAAAGATCAGGTGAAATTTATCTACCTTCAACACACTCGCATTTGCTTGTCTATCCGCCTCTGTGTGCTAGAGTGTCTCTCTGACCGCTTGCATTTGTCTTCTACTTTCTTAATACCTAATGGTCTGTTTCCCTTTTTGCCGTCTGTAAAACTCTCTCTCTACTTATCTTTGTCTGTGTCTGCCTGCCATTCTACCAGCGACTCTCTCTCTCTCTCTCTCTCTCTCTCTCTCTCTCTCTCTCTATCTATCTATCTATCTATCTATGTCTTTCTTTCTTTCTTTCTTTCTTTCTCTCCCTCTCTCTCTCTCTCTCTCTCTCTCTCCTTCTCTCTCTCTCTCTCTCTCTCTCTCACCCTGTTTGTTGCTCTTTTATTTTACCTCTGTTTAACTATGCACTTGCGGTAGTCAAACATGAGAAAATCCGTTTTACATCTTCTGTAACTGATGTAATAGTGAGGGGGAAAAAGTTAAATATTGTCTGTGCAAGAACTTAAACAGTCTGATAGAGAGTTATGAATACGTACAAGTGCCTAACACGTTGTTCGCGCTGGTCTGAGAATAAGTGACATTCAGTTCCTTTTCTGGATTCAGGAAAACTATACGCACTTAGTCCTATTTTGCAATATTCCACAATTTAAATGGAATCAGATCTATACTATGCACGGACGGATACATGAGATCACATACAGCCTCCACCCCCCTTTTTTCCCCTTTGTTTGTCGCAAACACCTAAAAACGCGTATCAATAATACAAAATGGATCCGATATACAGTAATATTTCTTTCCTTCTGCCCCTTTTCTTTATCCTTTTGTATCGCTGTGCCCCTTCCAAAAGAGCAAACACTCTAATTCATTTCTCGCTTATTTTGTGAGTGTGTGTGTGTGTGTGTGGGGGGGGGGGGGGGGGCGTGCGTGAAGGTGTTTATGTTTAACTGGATTGTAGATCTCATGTTTCCCAGAAATCTAGTCTATTTGAAATTACTTCATGTTCTATTTATCCAGTATGTCTTCTTGCATGGTAAACGATCCTGTACATCACTGTACTGAACATTACTTCATCATCCGGTTCTTTATAAAACGTATCTTCCATCACAACCCACATAAAAATAACCTTTCCCAGGTGTTGTAGGAGATAAAAGTGTTGTTAGACTGGGCGGTTCAGTCTTTGTTACAGATAGTTGGCCTATGGATCGCGCCGACATTGTTAATGCCTTTGAAGAGATATAACAATGGATGATTTTGAGAGCCGTGTCCACATCCCTGCTAGGAATGCGAGAATTGTGAGTAAAGATCGGCATAACTAATCCATTGCTAATGGTTCATGACTTTCCTGCCCTTTGTGTCTCTAACGTTCTTGGTGCTGGTCGATCTCTGTCTAAACCGGTGCACGCTTTTCACTACTGTTATTTCCAACCCATTGCCACGTTTGATTAAAAAAAAATGTTACATAATGTATTTAATATTTCAATAGTAAAACTTTTGCTATTGACAGGTGTACAAAAATAACGTCTATCTGACCATCCCTCGCTGGACGTGGACATCTGGACATCCAATCACCCTGGCCAAGGTGGTGTCAGTACAAGGTCAGTCCAAGCTCTGCCCCTACCCGAACTGGACCGCCCAGAAACAAGGTGACTGCCACGCCCTGCAGTATGTACAGAGCATGGAGGTCGACCCCAACACAGGGCTCATGTATGTTTTGGATTCGGGCCGGGTTGGAGGCTCTCTGAACTTATGCCCTGCCAAGATTGTTGTCTTTGACTTGAACACCGACACACAAGTTCACAGTTATCAGATGCCTGAAGATGTGGTCACCAGAACCCACAATGCAATGAACGATATTGTCCTAGATTACGTAGCCGGTAAAGTCAGATACGCATATATTAGTGACGTCAGCGAGGGGCGTATACATGTTTATGACTTCCAGACACACAGCGCCCACAATCTGGAACATCCATCCATGAAAGCGGAAGGAAATAACGGCACGGTGATTCACATCAACAACAAAGACTATGTGTTTGGTGGAGCAGTGGATGGGATTGCAATATCGCCAGATTTCAAATATGTTTATTACTGCCCCCTAGGTGGTTACAGTTTATACGAGGTGCCTACGTCGGTTTTAAGAAACCCGAACAACTCTGGGACTGCTGGTCCAAGACTGGTTGGTAGGAAAGTTTCTCAAAGCGACGGCCTAGCCCATGGGAGTAATCATCTCTTCTACGGGGCTCTAGGTCTTAACGCTGTCTACTTTTGGGATGCCGAGAAAGACATGGCCGATCAAAACGTAGGCATTGAAAATGTCAAACTGGCAACACAAGTGGAGTTAGTGAGAAATGATACGACAATGGTCTGGCCAGATACGTTTGCATTTGACGACCAAGGTTATCTGTGGTTTGTTGCTAATAGCTTGAACACTTTCAGAAACCCAGGTGGCAACCCACTTAACCGAGTCTGGAAAGTGTTTGTCAACGAGACTGGATATTTATATGAAGCTGACAAGCGAACACTAGGCACGGTTGTTGGATAAATGTTACCATTTTTTTTTGTCACAATAAAGACAATGCAAGGGATTGTTTAAACTCTTTGTAAAAATACAATTTTTCTTCTGTGGTGTTCCTGTCTTTTGTGGTAGATGTTGTTTGTCGAACGAACTAACTTTATTTTCAAAAGGTCACAATATTATCACTCAGGCCTGTCTCGAATTCGGCCCTTCCAAACACCCGTCTCTCACACAGCAGTAGTATTTTATCAATAAAGCATGGTGTATTCATATGATAAATTGCATATTGTGAATATCAAGAAATAACACAAAGGCATGGGTGGCAAAATGCATGCACACACTAGCGCAAGCACACACACACACACACACACACACACACACACACACACAGACCCGCCCACCCACTCACATAAAGACACACACACATATAAATATATACACACTCACATACACTCATATATATATATATATATATATATATATATATATATATATATATATATATATATATATACACACAATACATACATACACAATACATACATACACACACACATACACACACATTCCACACACATGCATGTAGCTACACACAGACAAACCCACATAAACACTCGCAGACACACACATACATACACACACATAAACACAAAGACACACTCATGCAGACACAGAAAACGCACACACACACAGTAGGGCCTGAACCCACAACCTTCCAATCTAAAGATTAGTGTCTAGCCGCTACACCACGGTATACAGTGCTAAGCCTATATTTGATAGCTCAATCGGCAAGAAGTGTGTTGTCAACATCCCGCCTTTACTTCCTATGACTTTACCTGGTAACAATTTTAGTCTGATTCGACTTGAGAGCTCAGATTTTTGTTGAAAAAAAAAAAAGAGACGATTTCGATACGGATTTGAACTCTAGATGTTCAGTCCTGCAGCCCAGCGTCTAGCCTCCACATTACCGCTGCTGCCACTGATCAAAATATGGCCAAGCAAAACAGAAGCCTAGCCAAGTTCAAACAGGCAGCACAAACTGCACCAAACAGTCTTCAGAGACTGAAAGGAAAGGGGAGGGTGTTGTTGTCTGCAGCCAACAGTCTGTATGTCTTTTTTACCTACATACTCAAGCCGATCGATCTCGTGTGAGTGATTGCAAGAGGCAGACAGACGAACTGATTTGAACCAATGATTTGAATAGATAGGTTCTTTCTCTTCTTCTTCGGGTTCACCCGCAGTAAGCTCCGGCGCGCCAGTGTGGTTGTTCGTCCACTTCTGGACTTGAGTCTTGTTCCAGAACCTGAGTTTTGCATGCAGATCCGTTTTACAGATGCGGCTTGTTTGCATGCAGACAAAAACAGAGACGTCACTCTGATGACACTCACACAACATAAACAGACATACACATAATCACAGATAAAAACATACACACAGATACAACACATACACACAGGACCAACACAAACACAGACAAAAACGCACATAGTCACAACAAGTACTCACATACACAACGTACACTCAGACATACACAGGCATATGTACTCTCGCAGACACCACACTTACACATAGACAGACAGCCACATAGACACAACCAAGACACAGCTTCAATAGATACACACACACAGATTGACTCAAGCACAACATTCAGAAACATAACACAAACAGACAGAACACGTGCACACAGAAATAATACGACACACAACACAACACACCGTCGTAGACACAACACTCACAGACTCAGCATACAGACACGCACACACTCACTGACGCAATGCATACACACAAACACAGAAATATACGCTTAAATGCAGATAAACACACAGACACAACTCTCACAGGCAGGCACACACACTTACAAACACCATATACTCACAGGTAAACACAGACTCACAGACGCAACACATACAGACACAAAGCACCAACACTAACAACAATAGTCAAACACAACTCACACACAGATAATGACACCCAGATACCACTGGCCAGAAGCGGCTGGCCGAACGATTAGAACGCTGGGCTCTCAAGCGGAAAACCCGGGTTTAAATCCTAGGTAAGGCTGGGGATATTTTTCTTTGGGGGGCACCCTCGCAGAGACACACTTCCCGTAAGCACAACACTCGGTACAACACTCACAAACACACACACAACGCTCGCACACGCATCATTCACACAGATACAGCACTCACAAACACAAAAAGATTAGCTTTATGAACGTGTTTAATAATTATTATAGTAGTAACAATTTGCTGAATGACAAAGAGAAATAATATGAAATGTATACACGTGTAATTAAAAAGAGAACTTCTAATTAGTGTTGGTCTATGGGAGCTTCACAAATTAAAACTTTTTTGGCGAAATGGTTGAAAAAATATGGGGAAACGGGGTGGTGGGTTAGGTTTCAACACCCGTGTCTTCCACAGGCTTCACGTAATCTCCTTCAGGTGTTGATGTAAAAGCATAACTCGCCGGTGCTTTCCCAATGTCTGACATTTTAATGAAAACTGCGCTTCTTAAACTGATATTTGTTTTCCTTCTTGTTTTGTCACACTTCCCCCTCGTGGTTAAAGTGTGTCGTCCAGTATGTCAATAGACTGGGTAATGCCAAATTATTCAGTATGCAAATAAGGAAACTAAAAAAAAAAGTAAACAAAAAGTACAGGACTACTTTTTCACCCCTTTAGGCGTATATGGCATATAGGGCTAGACCTATATTTTTATAGACCAATCGGCACAAGATAGGAGATCTGATCAACATCACACCGACAGCTTTTACTTCCCGGGACTGCACCCAGTACCCACTTAAGGCTGGGTCGACCTGGGAGTCAAGGTCATTTTTGAAAAAAGTCCGGCTCCGCCATTGAGCGAACCCACGACCTTCCGATCCGCAGGCGAGCATCTAGCCGCTCCGCCACGGTAGTTATTGTCTTTAATAGAGTACGCAAAATAGCCTAGTAATGTCAATAATCTATACAGATCCTCCTAGTTAATGTTTATAATTCAGAATTTGCATCCACTTGGTAAATGTCTATAATCCAGTTTACAATTCCTCCTAGTTAATAATCCAGCATGCAAATCGTCCTAGGCAATATTTATAATGTAGTAGGCCAATCCTCCCAGTTAATGTCTATAATCGAGAATAACAATCCTCATGTTTAATGTCTATAATCTAGTAAACCAGTCCTTCTAGTTAATGTCTAAAATCGAATATAACAATCCTCATGTTTAATTTCTATAATCTAGTAAGTCAATCCTCCGAGTTAATGTCAGTAATCGAGTATAACAATCCTCATGATTAATGACTATAATCTAGTATAACAATCCTTCTTCTTCTTTTTCTTGTTGTTGTTGTTGTTGTTGTTGTTGTTGTTGTTGTTCTTCTTCTTCTTCTTCTTCTTCTTCTTCTTCTTCTTCTTCTTCTTCTTCTTCTTCTTCTTCTTCTTCGTCTTTTCTCTTCTTCTTGCTTCTTCTTCTTCTTCTTCTTCTTCTTCTTCTTCTTCTTCTTCTTCTTCTTCTTCTTCTTCTTCTTCTTCTTCTTCTTCTTCTTCTTCTTCTTCTTCTTCTTCTTCTTCTTCTTCTTCTTTGTGTTCGCCACTGTAAACTATGGCGGAAAGTTCTGATTGTTAATCGAATTTTGGACTGCAGCCCTGTAACAGAACCTGAGTGTTGCGTGTGCATTCATTTTACAGATCTGACTAATGTGTATGCAGACTGCTGGTTCCTTGCTTCTCAGGCAGATGCATTCCGACTTTGAAGAAAGTTCCCAGTTAGTCGACTCTTACGACATGGTATATATATATATATATATATATATATATATATATATATATATATATATATATATATATATATATATATATATATATATATATATATATATATAATAGATGTCTATAATCTAGTATGCGAATCCTCCTAGTTAATGCATATAATCGGATGTAACGATCCTCGTGATTAATATCTGTAATCTAGTTTGCACAACCTCCTAGTCAATGACTATAATCGAGCATTACAATCCTCCTGATTAATATGTATATAATCTATAATGCCAATCCTACTAGTTAATGTCCCTAATCGAGTATACAAATCCTCATGATTAATGTCTATCATTAGTACTAGATTATATGTAAATTAATTATATATATTAATGTCTATCATTAGTGCTAGATTAATATCTAGCATACCAATCCTCACATAAAATGTCTATGATCGAGTATAACAATCTTCGTGTTTAATGTCTATTATTCACTATGTCAATCCTCAAAGCTAATGACCGTCATCTTGCACAAGAAGTCATAACAATTTCTGATGGGAGCAAATCATTATAGAAGATTGCTCGGGGTCTTTGCTCTGTCTGCGATTGTTTCTAACGCAGAAAACGGAACGCCAAAATCAATAGTGAACTGTTTGTAACGTAAATCGAAGACCACACGACACGCTTCTTTGAGCAGATCTGATCTGTTATGTCGATAAATGATACGCCTTTTGCCTATCATATTTGAGAGTTCAGTGTCAAAAAGATGGCACTGATTTCGCATGGGCTAGCGACAGGGCCATTTTCGTAGGACTGTAAGAATGAGCAGCTAAATGAATCTTGTGCATCAGTGAGTTCTATCTGATCTCTCGTACAGTGTCATTCGGTTCATATTGTTGTGCATACATAAGGACCACTTGGATTAGAATCCCGCTGCAATGTAAATATGTTACAAGTATAGATTAGATATCTAGATCAGCGGTCTTTAAACTGGGTGGAGCGGGCGTTCACTAGGGGGCGCGAAAAGGCTTCAAGGGGGCGTCAAGCAATTTTGAAAGCTAGTGCATTTGTATTCGTTATAATCCGTTAAACTTACATTGTGTTTTAGTTTAATTATAAATAAAATATTTAGTTGAAACTTGTTTTTAAACATACGACATTGTAACTTTTGTGTTCCTCACATTTGGTTACGTTTAAGACGTGGGTGTAAAAATAAAGGGGGGGGGGGTGTGGATAAAGCGTATTGTCATATACTCAGGGGACGTTGGGATCT